ACTGGACAGATTAGCACTGGCTGTCAGCCGTTTCAGGCTTTGCTTCGCACCATTGAAGTGCAAAGCTTTCCTCAAGCATTGGCTGGGATCGCCTGCGCTGATCCTGAATGGGGATCAGCTAAAAGTCGTACAAAAATTCAACTACCTGGGAATTTATATCAGCGCCCTTGGATTTGAACAGGTCACGAACCGTATAGCAAAAGCTCGATGTGCTTTTGCTAGTCTTCGCCACCTATGGCGGCGGTACATCACTCTCGCTCTGAAGGGTAGAGTGTAAAATGCAGCGGTACCTTCGACCTTACTGTACCTGGCCCCTTAAATCAGCAGACATAAAGTGGCTAGTTACGTTCGCCCATCGGTGCCTTCGCAGTTTGGCTCACATCTGGTGGGAACACCGAGTAAGCAACGAGCCTGTTCGACGCCTTGTTTACGGCACAGGAAAAGGAACTGAACCGCTCAGCATCGTCATTTCACACACTAGGCTCCGATGCCTCGGCCAGATGTTACTCATGTCAGCCCACCGGCTCCCGCGATGCATTGTTTGCGTGCCGGGGGTGTGGATGGAAGAAGAGACGTGGCCAAGTAATAATTTGATTGAGAGGAATGAAGGCCCTCCTTTCGAAGCTGGCCTCAGTTGGAGCGCCTCGGCTCCCTGGTTGGGGTCCGAAAGACGATGAACCACGTTTGGCTAGATGCACTTGCTGATATGGCTAGGAGCCGACCTCATTGGGGTTCCTGCTATGAGTTTCTTTGTCTCTCCCCATCCCTTTTAGCCTCCCCCTCCAACCATGATCTCAGTTCGTAGCATACTATAATGAATACACAATATAATTTACGTAATAATTTTCTGTTGCCTAGTAAGCCGGCTGGTAGCTTTGCGGAACGATGCCCATCCGTTTCATGTAGCTCAGCGACTGTTGGATTTATTTTCTCATGTATTGCGGCACAGTAGCTGAGGCGTTTTACACCTCTAGCTAATGTGTATGTTGAATGAATAAATCAATCTGCACTTATTGGACAATTTGAAGATCGAGTGCTTGCTTGCGTTTCCGTCTACCCCGTCCACATCATAAGCTGGTAAGGGATGTGCGTAACGTCATCCTTGCGGTACTGATAAATTGTACTGAACGTCACTTATAAATGATCACATTGATCGCCTCTTGGTCCAATAACCCCATCAACACGGTTGATACTCAAGAAGCCTATTGGAAAACGACGATCTTCGTCTATTGTAGGCTAACTAGACTGCAATTACGTTATAAACCGGATCCATCTCAAGGCCGCAACTCCCAACTATTGGCTTCCTAGTCTTTTCCTCGTTCCAACATGCACTCTTTGGCTCGTCTCTAGCTCCTTTTGGTCTCTTTCACTGATATTGTTTGTCTAAACACCCAGTAACGATGAGGTATCCTCTCTAAAAACCACCCCGCTTTCTATCATCCGTCAGTGTGCTAAATTTTAAACTTTATTGGTCCATCTTTGACTTTCCTTCGTTATTTTCTGACACTTTTGGTTAGCTCCTACGCGGGCGAATTTCTTCCACTACTGTTCTAGTCACACTTTTCTTCATACTACTCTGTAATACTTATATCTTGCACGTTTGGTAGTTCCAGTTTTGGATTTTGGCGCCCTGCAATCCTGATGGAGTGCAACCCCTTGTCGGATATGACGCTTTTTCTTCCTCCGCCTTTGTTTCACTGTTAACTATATATTTTCAATACTAGTAATGTTTCCTTTTCAAGTTACCTCTTTGACCTTTGCACCCGGACTCGTTCAACTGGTGTATTTATGTGCCAAACTGAAATGCATAACCATTCTACTTTTCTGATTTGTTATTATGCGTCCTCTTCGCCTAACTAAAGTTTCCTTCCCATTCGATTGCTCTGGCGGTCAAGTTTAGACATAGGCATCAAATGCTTTAGCTTTCTTTCCGCTTTATGCAATAAACTCGTCTTCGAGTGACTGGCTATCTTAACAGCCTCGACAATTCTCAGCTGGGTGTAACTGAGTTATCATAGGCATTCGTCTTTATGAATTTTATTCCGTGTATTAGACTGTGATGAAATATACCGTACTTTCCGCTTCGTGTTTCCTTTCTTCAGCACAACCAAGGCGTTCCTTCGATTTCTCGGGGTCGTGGTGGTGGTAGCTCAGGCATTTCATACTCAGAGGCTGATGATTCCGTTTTTCGAGGTTCTGGGCGCGGTCGTTACGGACGAAACAATTTTCCGCACCGTGGTTTCACTCCTCGTTTCCATCACTCTAGCTCCGGTGTATATCGGCCTTCTCTATTTGTTGGTGTGTCCAATCCGGTAATTTAACTTATTCCTACGCTATCTTACCTCTTGGTATTTCAATAGCAAATTGTTGCGGCTTTCCCGATGCGGTTGAATCCGATGGTTTTGGGTACTGTTTATGAGTCCGAAACATCGTATTTCGTCATTCCAATCTTCCCCAAACTCAGTTTTATTAAACTTGAGATTTGCTTTTGTTTTCATTATCCATTGTCCGTTTGCTTCCCAATCGGCCACTCCCACACCCATTGTGCAGAACTAGTTGCCTGTTTCCTACACTACACATAGTTTAGGATCGATAGCCCATTCCAAACCTTGACTACACTTTCACTGGCTATCGTCATCAGTATACTTACCGTTTCTTTACGGGCAATCAGCGCTTCTTCCGGTGACTGTCACTGTAGATGACTCGGGGTCCAGCAACATTTAAACATAATAAAGACAGTTTTATGGAAGCAGCACACACCGGAACCCCTTAATGCTCTGTTCTGTTGTGTTAGTTAAACCTAATTCTTATTGGAGGAACTTGGTTTCCAGATATAAACAACTAACCATGGTATATCATTCCCGTATGTGACTTATTAAGCGACTGAGAGTAGATAAAAATAGGTAGTTTGCGCGCCATCTGAGTGTGCGAAAATCGGCTTACCTTTCATTCCTTCCATTTTCTTGGTAAGCAGTTGGTTAAAAAATTGTCCGAAAGATGAGTACGGTTTGTTGCCTAAAGCAACTGAGCCAGTTACTAGGAAGTCGACCCCATCATTTGGCAACAGCGTTTCAACGGCTTCGATTCAGTTCGCATCTCATCGAACTCCCCATTTCATGGATCCACATTCCGGCGGGTCTCAGCTGAGTTGGGAAACAGCAGAGATGTGGCGGACCTACCAGACTGCTCTGTAGAATTTTTCATCCAGCACTCAGATCGGTGTGTTCAAAGATGGATTACTTGTCCATTGCCAGGTTCCGATCCCATGACATCCGGATGCCAACAGCTTTCGCAGACATATGTGCACCCAGCCTGACTGAGAATGGATTACGTCGAATCACAGCTACAATTACACTCAAATACCCACTACTCTTTATTAGTTTTTTCTATCTCAAGGAGTTCTGCAGCTCCACAGTCTTTACTATTAATCCTCATGATCTTTATCAAACTTTACTTCAGTGTTTCGCGCACCCGGGTTACTCATTACACGACGGGATCATCTATAATGTCTCTAAAGGAATGGGTAATTCAGAAGTCCAGTCACTATTCGGACACTGGATGTGCAATCGGCTTCAGTTGTAGCGAATGAATCCAATACGCATTCCTCTGAACCACCTTGTTCGCCAGCAACATCCGGCATTCTAATTCGACTTGGGGTCTACATATATGTATATATATGCATAAGTAAATAAATAGTCATTGAGCCATCGAAAAGCCATAAGAAACAAAATAAAAACGTACAAATGTCAGAAACTGGACAAATATGTTGGGGTTTTTGGGCCTTTTGTTTTCTGGGCTGTTTTCAAACACCAATTTGTTCTTTTTTGACATTTTGCACGGTAAAGTTCTAATCGCATTGTTCAAAACATTTCAATATACAGTCCTGTCATTGATTCCTGTTTCGCGCCATATCGCCTAGTTTGTCGAGCCATTGGCAGTCCTCATCCATTGGGCCCTTAACCAGGAAGACGTACAGGGCCGACCATGACGAGACGGAAGGTCAGCGATTTCATGGTTTGCTGCCTTCTCTTCCAATTCAATCCCGCACCATCAAATAAGGCGCAGCGAGGCAAGCGCTCGCATGGCATACGTAGAACGTGGCGAGGCGACCTCAATTGACACATTGCAACAAGGCGATTAAGCGGAGGGCTCATGTTGCCCAAAATGCGACATCGAACTTCATTATTGCGAACCCGGTGCTGCCACCACACACGACCTATCCGCTGAAAACATGTGTGTCGAAGGCCGAAAGCCTACGCATCTCCACCACACGAGTCGGCCAGGACTCACTTCCCTACAACATGACCGCACGGACACAAGCGTTGTAGACCCTTCCCTATAAGGAGAGGGATATGTACCGACGACGGCACAAATGACTCAAGTTGGTGAATTCCGACCGGGCTTTGACAATACGAACAAATACCTCTTTCCCAATAGTGCTATTAGCAGAAATACAGCTACGGAGGTAGACAAAGTTGTCCACAAGCTCTAGCTGTGTTTCTTCAATGATAAGTGAACAGTCAGGCAACATCCAGTCCTGGAGCAACACTTTGCACTTCAAGGTGGAAAAGCGCATACCATACTTAAACGCTTCAATCGCCAGACGGTTCAAAAAGAGCTGCACACTGAATCGTCACCGAATAGAGCGATCTCATCAGCGTAACCTAAGTCGGTCAGGCTTTTGCCAGGAAGAAGCTCAACACCAGGATTTTAGGGGCCTTCCAGCGATCACAGCAGAACGTCCTCAATTGTTGCACACCACTAGAGATATCGAAGGATAAGGAAATCTTGCCATAGACCCTCACTCTGCTTGACACTTGGGAATAAAGCATCCGAATGATGGAAGTGTACTTTTCGGGGACTCAATTTCTTAGCAGTGCCACAAACCAGGTCGATCAATCGAGTCGAATGCAGCTCTAATGTCCAAGAAAACGATTGTGCTTGGTCTGTGGTAAAGATGGCGGTGTTCCAGAATTTGACGTTATGTGAAGATTTGGTCTACGCATCCTCGACTGGGGCGCAAGGCAGCTTGTTCTTCTCGGTAACCCAACTCGCGGATCGGGGATAGTCTGCGGAGCAGAATGGATGCCAGCAGTTTGAGAGCAATCGGTTTGAGCTTGATTCCTCTGTGCTTAGCACAAAATGTGCGAACACCTTTCTTGAAATAGGGATAATTACTGACTCATCCTAAGAGGATGGAATCTTCTCTTTCCATATCTTGGAAAATAGCAATGTTAACTGCTTGACAAGTGCTGGGCCGCCAAACATGAACGTCTCCGGAGGAAGTTTGTTCGAGCCGGGAGACTTGCATCACTTGGAGTGTCGAATCTCGACAAAAACCTCCGCTTTGTTAGGTGGCTCCAATGAAATGGCCCAAGGCATGCAATTGAGTGCACTTGGCATACAAGCGGCCAGTGAATGGGGATTGAATTGGGAGTGCAAATGTTCGAACCCACGATCTTAGACTTACGAGCCAGTGACAGATGCCACTGAGCCATGGGTGACGACAGCGGACCTTCATGACTGTTATCTAACTACGATATAGCGCGGCCCATCCTCCACTGTCTTGCAGCTTATGAACGTGCAAAGAACAGGGCTAGCCTCAGATCCACAACTTCTTTTGCAAGCCGCTAGCTATCGAGGTGGTATGTAGGCTGCTAAGCCGATTACTGGTAATTAATGAGCAGTAGGGGATTTATTTGGTATCGTCGCAGTTACACTCATGCAGATATCCACCATATATCCAGGAAAGGGCTAGGCGGGTTTTTCGTCCTATTAGGACTCGTCAGTATCGCGCATCCGCCGAATCCTGCCGAGTATTCGCAAAGCATTCTGCAACCGCGGTTTCTCGATCGGTTGGAAGTATACTCCAAATGTTTGAATCTAGTTTTCTAATTTTTTTGTCCAAAAAATCATTGCAGCTTTCAGATTATCACGTTGCCCCCTGCATTATTTTGTTTCTGAAAGACCACCGTCTACCTTTGTCCGTTTCATTTTGCTTAATGTGCTTCAGTTACGCTATTGCATTTTAACCCCCCAAATTGCTTTCTTGCTGCGACAACTCTTCACACAAACTTAATAAACCCCCTACTACTTCCTAATAATCAGTATTTCTCTTAGCAGTCTACATACCACCTCGATTGGTGGCTGCCTGCAAAGGAAGTTGTGGATCTGGGGGCTAAACCTGTCCTTTGCACGTTCATAACATGCATGGCAGTGGAGGATGAACCGCGCTATATCGTAGTTAGATATCAGCCATAACGGCGCGCCGCCGTCACACATGGCTCAGTGGCATAAGTCACTGGCTCGTAAGAGTAAGGTTATGGGTTCGAATTCGGCGGGTACTAGCTATTGACGAGCCCAAATAGAACGAAACGACCGTCTAGCGCCTTCTTGGATGTGTCGTGGTTGTCTGCCCGAGTCTAGCTGCGACGAAACTTCATCAACCCTAAATAAATCCCCCTACTACTCATTAATACATGGAATATTTTGGGCATTATCAGCATGCTTATGATCAGCTTCAAGGCGGTCATATGGACGTTACTCTGTCATCGATCAAAGATATAACAAAATTTCTACTCTAAGCCATCTTAGTTTGGAATGAGATATGCTGACAAGCATTGACCAAGTAGTTAATGTCACATCGTTTGTATGCAAGGTTAAAGCTATTGGAGTACTCCATCAGTACGATGAGTATCGAACGTAAAAGCAACCACCCTGGCGTTTGAATGGACAGTCCTCAAACGGTCCACCTCAGCATTCATGTCACAGACAGCGATGACAATATCCAGCTGCTCCGTCATCCGGATGAGAAACGAGTGTCACCGATAATTTTCGTCTATGGAACTCCGACCTGTATTCGATGGAATCGAGAAGATTGTTTTCGGTAGTTCTACTGCGTGCAAAACCCACACAATATTCTTCCTTGACCCTTTATTTGATAGCATGAAGGATGATGAAAAATAAGATTTTCGTTGGGTTTTGAGCAGAGTAGCGGGCATTGCGTTAAGACTTGTTGCTCATGTTCGTGCGTCTCGGAGACATCGCAAATGCGAATTTCAAAAGCGAAAGTCGCCAGTCGACCCAGAAAGCACAGAGTGCAAATGCAGAAAGTCACCTGGGTAAAGTTAGTTGTTGGAATAGAAAGACAACTAATGCGCAGTGTTAGGATGGTTTCTTGGGGATAGTCTGAGCACAAAAGTATAATTGCAGTTTCACGATGAGGAATTTGAAAGCAACTCACAATTGACCCTGGAAAATTTTGAACCTATGCTTGTTTTTAACCGTGGCATTTGGGACTCCTAACATCGTGACACTCAGTGTTGCCATACGTTTCCAGATTTTGTGGATGAATGGCAGTTACTGCGTCAATCTTTTCTCTTACGAATCTCGAGACTGTTTGACACACATGTATCTATTGCCATTGTTTTTCTCTTGGAGAGTGACATCCATAGTGACTCGGTGAAACATGGAGGTGCAAAATTCGTCGCACAAAAGCATGTTTCAATCTCGTCCTGATCGATCGCCCCGAGATTCCACAGCGTAATGACGTTAACGATTTCGATTACCCTCTTAATATTCCTAACCGCTTATTATCCCTTGCAAGTTACTGCCACTAGATTTCCATTTATCCTCTCAGTTGCATTACGCATAGTAGGACTAGTCCTGTTGATGTGTTCCACAGCTCATGACTTTCACTTTATCGTTTTAGTGTTTTCTTTTTTAGCTAAATGAATCAGAAGATTTCTGGCAAGATGATGACTGGTTTTCCTCGGAAGTCGATCGAGATGCCCAGGCTGCCGTAAGCGTTAAACCGCATTTACCATCTGGTACCAAACATTGTGTTGGCGCTCCGCCAGTCCCCTGCTCGTTTTCGGGCACATCCTCTTCAACCAATGTGGGTACTGCAGAACCCTGTACAACGGTTCGTACATACTATTGTTGGCGTTAATTTGGTTGCTTATTTTTTGGTGATTATCCTCATGCTTATTTCTTTCCATTTCCGCAGTTTTGCCCCACCCTAAACAGATCCTTCCTCGGTCTGGGCAATCGGGAAGATCTCTGCCCACACAACACATTAACCTTCTAGACTTTGCAAATCATTTCACCGACTACCCGTTTTCCCCCCTTTTTGTTGCTAACTATGTGTTGTGGCACTGCCAATTTTACATTGGTCAAGTGTTGATTAATAATTTGCTACCTAAACAGATCGTCCAACGCTTGATGTCTCTGTATCTTTTAGAATCATCCCACTCCTAACTGGTCATTGGTCAGTTTTTATGTTAGATAGCTGTCCTAACCACCTTAGTCGCATGCTGGAATAAGGATGACATCCTACGTGTAACGCACTGCTCGAATTCTCAATTCCGTCAAATAGCTGCGGTGACCTGAGGGATAAATTTCATTCTGGATTCATAGAAGTGGATGCGGGTACTCATTCGCATACAAGCGCGTTCTCACGGAGTCCATTGTCAAATAACAATTAGCTAACTTCCGTTTCTTTTTTTACTCCAACATACCTGTGATCAGCTGCTCTGTTGACAAGCATAATTTTCCGCTAAAGTCCACTCATGCCGGTTGACGGCTAAATCAGATCCAGTTTTTCTCAAGCGGTTAGAACCGCCCGTTTCCACTACATCGTTTACTACAATTGGATGTGTGAAACAGGCCCCACAACCGACTTTACACCATTTTTAAATGCGAATCACGGCCACCATACTTTTTTCGTCCGTTCCAGCCCACTTGCGCACCTGACCGATCGTATGTGCGCCGAGCAAACATTCCTAATCTGTTTTACCACAGCTTCCTGATTTGAAGTTACCGTTTACCCCAGAGAATTTCCAGCGAAACCCCGGAGCTTTTCTAATTATCTCCCTCCTTTTCATCTCTAACTTTATGTGTAGCTTAGTTATTTCCGATAAGAACCCTCGCTCTCCTACCATCGTGTTTTAATATTTGGTTCTAATTTCGGTTACAAACGGCCGCTTTTGAATTCCTGTCGAATTCGATGTTTCAACCTCCTCATCTTACTAGGCTTTGTACTTCCTATTTCATTCTCTGCCTAGTCAATTCGTGGTTGGGAATCATTCGTTGTATCTTATGTCCTCATTCACTTGTGTTTCCCGTTTTGCCTTCTTCGCCTCATGGATTCCATATTCGTAGTTTACCTATACCCATTCATAACTGCTTGATTCCGTTTAACTCAGCGTTTATGTCCTTCCGGATCAACCGAATCATTATCAGTTGGTCTTTTGTTCCTTTTTTGTCTCTATGATACATTCAGAAATCTCACTCGGAGTCCTGCTCTGTTGGTCCTCCACCTGGCTTCGATCTACCGCCTAAGCAGCTCGTGAGTATTGCTGATGGAGAGCGCCCTGTCAACGTTTTCTCATCTACGTCCACCCATGATGATACCGGTCATCTGCACTCGTCTGTGTCAACCATCGATGTTTCAAACTCTGCATGGTATTACATTGACTCTACGGGACAGACTCAGGGTCCGTTTGGGAATCAACAAATGTCAACATGGCTGGCGAGTGGTTATCTGCCGTTATGTATTGAAATTCGTCGGGAATGCGATGAATGTTTTCTCACTTTGGGTGAGCACTCCACGCCATTTCGTTAAGAGGTTGCTGCGTTTAAAACTGGCGCTCTCCGGGGGCCATTCGTGAAAAATACCCACTCATCCATCTCTACCCATCTTGACTTATGTCTACTCTTCACTCTCTCACGGCTATTGTTGTTGTTGTTCAAATTTCATGGTTCTTGTAAACGGGCTGAAGTTTACTGGTTAACAGACGAGTGATGCCGTTTAACTTGACCCGACTATTTATCTCGCTATTTCCGGCTTTGATTTGTGTTCAAGTACACTCCTTACTACCGGTGTTCCACGCATCGGCTCATATTTACTGGAATTCATTGCCTATTGTTGATTTATCAATGACCATAATCCCCTCCGAGCACTCGCTATTTGTGCATGTTTTAGTTTGGTCACAACATACGGCGTCCTTTGCATGGTTGAACTAACCCGTGTCCATTTCCTACATTTTGTCAACATAGTTGATCACATGAGCTTGGCGGGCCGTGTTCCTTTCTGGGGCGGGTACAACCAGCCACCGATTACCCGATCCAACCTCCCCTCAATTTTGATGTCAGTTTCGAGACGAATACCTGTTCCGCAACGCCTAAGCCACACACCGCCACCTCCACCCACATCGGTTGTGGCACAACAAATCCCACACATCCAACCCCCTGCGCTTCTACACAATCCGCCATCCAACACAGACGTCGCTCCCGCTGCTGCACTGCTCTCCGCGGCAGCTGAACTGGCTTCTGGAGTACATGCAGGAATTGACGCTTCACCCATTGTGTCGAGTACAGTAACCGAGGTAATTACATCTTTTACTCTATCCCTTTTCAGCTTCCGGTGTCCGAACTCTAGGCCCCGTCTGCATGCGCATTACATATGCACTCTATCGCTTTAGCGCGTGTGTAGATATAGGCCGTGGCGTGCGTTTCCAGATTTACCTGTCACTGTAACCGCGAACAGCCACAGGATACTTGCGCCTACGGATCGACTATTCGTGGCTTGTGCTGCACTACCCACAGCTCCATCCACACACCACATATCCAATGTGAACCCGACGTAATAAGACCGGGGGGGCATGCAGATGGGAGACACGATTGATTCGCAATCAGCTCACACATGCACATCATTTGCATGCATGGAGAGAAATGCGCATACCAGATCGTGGGGATATCAATGAGAAAACGCTGTCAGACATGCATCAGTACGAACAAATACAAGTACAGGCTAACTGCAGCGACGACGCAGCGCACATATGTCACACACGTCTCATAATTGGCCTGGGTTAGTAAATAGAATCGGAAGCAGCGAAATTATCAAGCGCTGGCGTTGCTTCTTGGATATTGGCTCCTCATGAGCACGTGGTCACTTAATAAACCGCCTCGCCTGAGACTCACACGACCACATGCGTCACAGCACCAGGTGCACGGTGTCGTTTGACCAGGCTCCGTCAAGATCTGACGCTTTTGCAACCCTCGTTTTTCCTCTTGGTGCAGTATTACTTTCTCGTGAACGTGAACAACGGATTTCTCGATGGAATCACGCCATTGGTGACTGTCCATCACCATTGCTTCTAACACCTAAAATCAACGCCAATTAATGATAATCTCACTTCGATCATGTTTTGGTAGTGCAGCCTCAGTTTTCCTTTACTAAATTGGCCATATAGCAGCTATTTCGGTATTCTAGTCGGATCTATGCAACAGACATGTCCCAGTTTCCTCAGGTTTCGCGGTAACAGCACGCAGTCTATTCTATAAATGCCACCCTGGTAATACACTTCGTGTCAGGAATTCTTTTACACCAACGGACGCGCTGAATCCGACGCAGACATTACTGGTGAAGTCCTTTTAGGTGGCTCATGTCCCTCTTGTGTGGCGGCCAATTTCCGCTGCCGTAATGAAAAACCGATGGCACCATCAACTTGTACACCACCAGTTTGGTCCAAATGGTAAGCTGAAGATTCTTCCATATCCGATGTTCCTTCAACTCGAGGATGCGCAGCTCCCTGGGCATCTGCAACTCTTTTAACACTTGCTCCCTAGGTAGTAAAATGTTGATGACTTCTCCAAAACTTCACCAACAATTTTATTTGCGAGCAGCCCACGGATTCCACTCCTGGTGATGGGTGAAAAAGACAGGCAGTCTTATCTGTGTTGATGTTGAATCCGAACTTGGTCGCTGTCGAAGCGAGAGTCGTCGTCATGGGTTGTAACTTGCTGTGTACAAACAACGCACAGTTGTCAGCAAACAACATTATACTGATGGGAGTCTCACGCACTCGGATTCTTACCTCGAAACGATGGATGTTCAGCAACCCACCTTGAATACTTTGCTTGAGATGAATATCGTATTCGTAAGTATTGAAACTACCAGACATCACGACGGTTGGAAAACTAGTAAACAGGGTAGGAGCTAAGAAACAGCCTTGCTTCACACCAGGGATAGCATCAACGTCATCCGTCGGTGCCACACTTTAGTTGTCGAACAGCAGCATACAGTCCATACCCCGTACATGTCGCTCCGGCGGATTGCTCGCGGGTCAAGTTCTCTGTCATCTTTACAGAAATTCACTGAACCCGACGTAGACATTGTTTCTGGTATCATCCCAGATATCGCATGTTATGTTTTGATAGCGTCCAAGTTTCGCTGCCGTGGTGTCGAACCTGAAACACCATTGGTTTGTACGCAATCGGTTTGGTCCCAACAATATTCCTACTTGCCATTGGCAGCCCTCGCCTTCGATACGCGTGTGCGCTGCCCACAGATCATCCGCACGTTTATCAGTAGCATACTTCCGAAATAGAAAACTTTTGATAAGTGCTCCAGAAACATCCTCAGCAGTTTTGATTTGCGGACAGCACACGGATTCCATTCTTGTTAATGGGTGAACAAGATAGATAGTTTTACCTATGTTAATGGTGAATCCGAACTTGGTCACTGTCGAAACGAGAGCGGTTGTCATACGTTACAACTTAGTTTCGCTATGTGCAGACAACCGGAAATCGTCAACTAACAGCAGTATCCAGATGGTTGTTTCACTTACTATGCTTCTCGCCCCGAAACGATAGACGTTTAACAATCCACCATCGATGCGACGCGTTGAAGTCACTAGACATTACAGCAATCAGCCGAATATTAGCATAAATGGGGCTAAGACACATCATTGATCCCCACCGGAGACCATATCAAAGTCATCCGATGCTTGTGCACATGCCAATTCGACAAACAGACTTACCTTGGCATCCAGAATTGACCCAACACCGGTCACAGCGCCTTGCGTTTTACCGTGTCGATGAACAGCGAGTACACTTCCTCTTCTCTTTCGTTCGATCTGCTGTAAACATCATACCTATTGTGCTGCGGCCTGAGCGGAAGCCGCACTGTTCTCCTGCCGCGTTTGGTTCAAAGACATGAGTAACGGGGCGATTGAGCAGAATGCTAGCAATCCTGTTGCCGGCACACTTTAGCTAGTTAGTGTCACCACACTTGTTCGCACACTGCTTGCTTCCCTTGTCTTCGTACAGTGGTAGCACAGGGGGCATCTTTCGGTCCGGCAGCTGTTTGTTCTTTGATCCAAACGCGTTCCACCAAGTGGTGAAACGCATGTAGCATTGCAGGTCTGCCGTTATTCAGTATTTCCTGTGGTATCTCACAGACACCTGAAAACTTACCTTTTCGCAGCCAAGTAAGCGCTCTCCTCATTTCATGCCGTCCCAGGATATCTGCCGGACCGTCATGTATATTTCATTGTCGCATTCCGTGTAACGGTTGGTGACATCCGTTTCTAGATCTTTTCCACTAGATCTTTTCCATCTTTTCCATCTGCAGCCACCTTCCCACGATGCCCATCGGATGCCTATCGGCAACAGTCCCTTATAACGCCACGCTGTTCCGTTTCCCTGGCGACGTTCAACGTTCGCACTCTATGACAAATATGTCAACACGCTGCACTCACACGTACGTTTGACACACTGGGTATTGGGGTGTGTTGTGTGTCCTAAACTACTAGGATCAATGACCCTAATAGGGTTGTTGAATTAACTGCGCCCGACTTGTCCTCTCGCTATTGGTTGCACGCATCCGGGGACGCCGATGCAGCACTCACGAATCAAGCTTGTATAGGTATAATTCTAAGCTCCAAGGCTGAGCCATTGTTGCTTGATTGGATTCCGGTGAACAGCTTGTTGGACGAAATCACCTAAGATTGATTCAGGAAGTAGTACAAAACGCCGTTTGTTTGTGATTTCCGCTTATACTCCCACCGACTGCAGTTCCAATGCTGTCTAGAACCCATTCTACCACGAACTGTACACGCTACTGCGCAGTGCTACTAGTTCAGATATCATAGTACTTGCAGGAGATATGAACGCACAAGTAGGGCATATGAGCTCTTCAGAAGCTCAGCTGGATGGTAATTATGGGCTTAACTCCGAACGGACTGACAACGGCGAGCGTCTGCTGCAACTGTGTGCGGAGCACCAGTTGTTTCTTAGTAGCACTGCTTTTAGACACTGGGCTCCGAAGATCCACTTGGCGCCCTTCTGTAGCTGGCCAGCGATGTACCCAAATCGACCACATTGCCATAAGTTCCAGGTGTCGTAGTTCTATCCTGGATCGCCGCTCGTACTGGATTACCTGCGTCGACTCTGATCATGCCTTGGTGCGCTGTCGTTTCTCCATGAACTTTACCGGGAGGCGCACCAAGCCTCTCCTCCGGTTGACAATTGAGAAATTGTCTCAGCCCTCGGTCAGCAAAGCATATCAAGACGCACTGCTTACCGAACTTTCGCTGTCTTGTTTTAATGACACTGAGCTTCAGTGGAATAAGTTCTAGGCCGCTATGCGCGACCCGGGAGCATCTGCTTGTGACACTATCCATCGTCATTGCACCAGTCACTGGATATCCGAGAGGTCGGTGAACCTGTTGGTATCTAGAAGAAACTTCCCGATTGGCTCTGAGCACAATGGGACCAGACGTGCTATTAGGCGCGAACTAAAGCGGAGCCTAAGTGCTGACGAGGAAGCCTGGTGGACCACGCGGGCTCAGGAAATGGAGGAGGCAGGAACAGTAGGCAGTTATCACAGGCTAATCCGCACCACTGGCCCCAGGAAACCAGGCGTCAGTGAGACAATCAGGGACAGCGTGGGTGCGCTGATAAACAATAAGGAGCGCCGTATGGCTTGTTGGGTGGAACACTTTCAAAATCACTTCAGCTGGCTCCCTGCTCCCGGACCTCTTCCTACTCATGGGATGCAGAATGAGCCATGGACGGTTAGTTTAGAATCTCCGTCGTAGGCCGAGGTCTGGAACTCGATCACAGCCCTCGATCGTTTTTGTGTCGCTGGCCCGCATTCCCTCCCATCTGCATTATTTAAGGATTTAGGTGAGGTTCCCTGCAAAGCACTGACCTCCCTATTCAAACGTATCTGGAAGGAAGAGATTGTCTTGCCTAATTGGAGCGGATCGATTATACTGGCAATATACAAGAAGAGCAGTCGCACAGACTGTTCTAACCACAAGAGTTTTAGCCTAACGCCAGTTGTGACAAAATTACTGGCCTCGATTCTCTTTCATCGTCTCACTGTGGAACGGGAATCTCGGATTAGGGAAGAGCAGGCAGGTTTCCGCTTTGGACGTGGCTGTACGGACCATATGTTCACTCTGTAACAGGTGCTAAAGTAGCGCCACGCATGTCGCAGACCGACAGTAGCTGGATTCCTCAACCTCTCCATTCTGTTCGCAGTGTTCCCAAGTACCATGGGAACATTTTACGTGCCCTGTATTCTAACACCACAGGC